CACCAGCTGCTACTGTACTGATCTCTGCACATTCTTCCCCCACCCCAACGTCGGACCCCTATTTAGCCTTTGGCACCAGCTGCTTGCTGCTACTGTGCTGATTCTGCATCAGCACAGTTGCAGCAAGCAGCTGGTGCCCAAAACTGAATAATAGGGGCCCGACACTGAGGTGGGGAGAGAGGGGAAGCCTTTGCAGAGATCAGTACAGTAGCAGCCATTCGCTGGCCTGGTGCCCAAGGCTGAATAGGGGCCCGACATAGGGGAAGCCAAAGGCTTCCCCTACCCCAGCATTGGGCCCAATTCATTCTTGGGGACCAGCTGATTGCTACTACTGTGCTGATTCTGCAACAGTTGCAGCAAGCAGCTGGTGCCCAAAACTGAATAATATGGGCCTGACGCTGGGGTGGGGGAAGCCATTGCAGAGATCAGTACAGTAGCAGCAATTAGCTGGCCTGGTGCCCAGGGATGAATAGGGGCCCAACGTGGGGGTGGGGAAAGTCTTTGCAGAGCACAGCTGCTGTCCTCTGCAAAGGCTTCCCCCACCTCAGCATCGGGCCCTTTATTCAGTCTTGGGCACCAGCTGCTTGCTGCTACTGTGCTGATTCTACAACAGTAGCAGCAAGCAGCTGGTGCCCAAAACTGAATGATAGGGGCCCGACGTTGAGGTGGGGTGGGGGGAAGTCTTTGCAGAGGACAAAGCATCCCTCTGTCTCCCATATCTAAAAAAATGTAAGCTTTTTGTAATATATGTTGGAATGCCCTGAGTCTGACTAAATACCGCACTGCCCACCAGAGAGCCCTGCACCGACCACCAGAGAGCCATCCTGAGACCCTGGAGACACGAGGCTGTGATCCTGAAGCAACACAGAGTATGTAGCTTCATATCTTTCTGCATTACTGTATAATGTGTTGCTGGGATCTGTAGTCCTCTATAGTTGGTGCTGTATAATGTGTTGCTGGGATTTGTAGTCTTTTAGAGTCAGTGGTATTCCGCGTTGGTGTAAATAGCATTGCTGAGATTTGTAGTCCTCTATAGTCGGTGGTATTCTGCATTGCTGTATAATGTTTTGCTTGGATTTGTAGACTTCTATAGCTGGTGATATTATTCTGCATTGTTGTATAATATATTGCTGGGATTTGTAGTCCTCTATAGCTGATGCTATTCTGCATTGTTGTGTAATCAGGGGTGTGGAATTATTTTTTTAAAAACAACTTGTCCAAGGGATAAAGCGGGGGCCGAATCTACTTGGCCTTCATGACAATCTACTTGTCCCAATACAAAAAAATTGTTTTCATCAAAACTAAGGATGCACCAATGCCGGTTTTTCGGTATCAAGTGCGAGTACCGATATTTTGCTTTTGGTACTCGCCGATACTGAATAAGAATACCGGTGCTTCCACTGGCATGGAGCAGGCTTCCCGGGTAATCAGGAAGCCGGCAGCGGGTAATGACATGCCGCCCGGCTTCCTGATTGCCAGGGAAGCCGGCTGCATGTTGTTTGGCCTGCTTAATTGTAGTTGGCTGGGAAACCGTCTTAAATAAAATATTAACCATTCTGTAAGCAAAACTTAATTTTCTGGCACTGCCCCTCCCGAGAATAGACTCTGGATCCGCCCCTGGGTGGAGATGCATATCAGAGACTTCAGATGAGTGCGGTTTTCTGGATTTCAGGCTCTGGTCTAGAATGCCCCAAGGTCTAAACTTTAGGTAGAATGTATATTTGTATATAAAGTAAAAATTGTTGTTACATTTATACCTACTATTCCCATGTTTCTTGCCTGGTACTTGTTGCATAGTTTTCAATTTTGTTATAAATGGAACTCTTTAATAATAGTTTGTATTCATTTGTGAGTTTGAATGTGGGAATAACACCTGCGTGTGAAGTTTCATTCAGTTATATCCAACTCTTTGCAATTCTATGGGCCAGCTCTGACCATGACTGATACACTTCAAAGCCTTTTTCCATAGAATTTTCATGGACATTTTTTTTTAAGAGTCACCCAGTCTTTCCTTAACCCTTTACAAATTACTCAGCCAGGGACTGCCATACTAAATGTGATAAAACATATGCATAGCCAATTTGTACACACATACTAGGGCCAATTCAGACAGAAACCAATTAACCTACCAGCAAGTGTTTGGAGTATAGAAGGATATCAGAGTACCCAGAGGAAACCAAAGAGAGCTCCTCATGGATAGTGTCACATAACTTGGTGTGAGTCTGAATTGACGAGGAAGGCCTCCTCCTGCAGCTCTCATCTGAGTACCCCTGGAGATGGAACAGAATGATTACAGACTGAGAGAGGCATAAGTGCCGGAGGCTGATGCTGTACACGGCAGGGTAGATGGTGCAGAGATCTGGATGCTGGACGTGGCACAAGAAGGTGACCATCAGATGAGGATGTTAGCAGCGAAGGGTTAGCACCAGGACAAGCAGATGAAGCAGAGTTGGAGACTGACCAGGTTGGTAACTTGCAGGCAGGTGAAGTACAAAATCAAGAAGCAGGGCAAAGTCAGAAGGCAAACCGAGTCAGCAACTTGCGGGCAGAGCAGTACCAAATCAGAATCCAGAAGAATGGTCAGTGGGTAAGCCGGGGTCAGAAGGTAGGCAGGTGACTGCAGGATCAGGAAACAAGCCAGGTCAAATACAGATTCAGGCACAGAGTCAGACAATAGCATATGGAACAGCTGAAGATCTCTCACCAATGTGCAAGTGCAACAAGCATCCTTAAATAGCCCATTCGGCAGGAATGTGCGTGTGCACGTCAGCGCATGCGTGCTGTGGCTTGCGGATGCGCGCACTGCTCCGTGCATATGCAATATTGGCACCATAAAGCTTTCTTCACGCATATTTATGCGCAATGGGTCGTGCATGAGTACGTGCAGAGGCTGCACTATGGACACTGACTGAACTTCCCTGACAGATGGGGTCCTGTTCAAGATTCAAACCAAGAACACCCAGTGCCGCCAGGCACAAGTGCTAAGCACTTGGTCGCTGTACCACCCTGTGGGTGAAGAGGGTATTTTTACCAATTTGCATTTATAACAATCTGCATTGACTAAGGTTGTTGGAGGCTGAAATTCTATGACATGATTGTTGGAATGCGTTACATACATTTGGAATAATCACTGTGTGCCTGTTTACTGCTTATGGTTTGGGCTTCAGCGGTGCACTGCAGGTTCTGGACTTCCTATTTAGATTGAGGGTAGAGTGGGTATTAGGATTACACATTGTGCAACTAGCACACTCTACCCCTCAAACTAAATAGGGCTACTGCATTAAATCTCTGAAAACCTCTTCAATCTGCTCTTACTCAAAAATGGTAACATATTGGGTATTGAGCACCTGTAGTTCTAATTTTCACTAAAACTGGGTGTAGTGTTACCTTTTTTATTCTTCTATGTTAGCTTACTGGAAGCTCAAACAGAAGGTAACAGAACTAAATTTGTGAATGAAGTAGATATTTTAGTTTATTTTGTGTTTAATGATTGGGAATATACAGTAATTGAAACAATGTATCAGACTGGTTTGTCCCAGGAACAGTTTCTTCCTCTGCGTTTCCTGTAGTTAGTCTCCAGAATCCAGAACAGGCCATACAACTCATCAATGTGAGGAGGAGTCACTCTAAAAAATTATATATTTTAATTATACAGGATTTTACTATTCAAGAATACATTCTGTAAAATTATGACTCTTTCTAACTTTTAGGTATAAATATTAATATATTTAGATATATATTATCTTTTTGATGTCAGAAGGCAAACCGAGTCAGCAACTTGCGGGCAGAGCAGTACCAAATCAGAATCCAGAAGAATGGTCAGTGGGTAAGCCGGGGTCAGAAGGTAGGCAGGTGACTGCAGGATCAGGAAACAAGCCAGGTCAAATACAGATTCAGGCACAGAGTCAGACAATAGCATATGGAACAGCTGAAGATCTCTCACCAATGTGCAAGTGCAACAAGCATCCTTAAATAGCCCATTCGGCAGGAATGTGCGTGTGCACGTCAGCGCATGCGTGCTGTGGCTTGCGGATGCGCGCACTGCTCCGTGCATATGCAATATTGGCACCATAAAGCTTTCTTCACGCATATTTATGCGCAATGGGTCGTGCATGAGTACGTGCAGAGGCTGCACTATGGACACTGACTGAACTTCCCTGACAGATGGGGTCCTGTTCAAGATTCAAACCAAGAACACCCAGTGCCGCCAGGCACAAGTGCTAAGCACTTGGTCGCTGTACCACCCTGTGGGTGAAGAGGGTATTTTTACCAATTTGCATTTATAACAATCTGCATTGACTAAGGTTGTTGGAGGCTGAAATTCTATGACATGATTGTTGGAATGCGTTACATACATTTGGAATAATCACTGTGTGCCTGTTTACTGCTTATGGTTTGGGCTTCAGCGGTGCACTGCAGGTTCTGGACTTCCTATTTAGATTGAGGGTAGAGTGGGTATTAGGATTACACATTGTGCAACTAGCACACTCTACCCCTCAAACTAAATAGGGCTACTGCATTAAATCTCTGAAAACCTCTTCAATCTGCTCTTACTCAAAAATGGTAACATATTGGGTATTGAGCACCTGTAGTTCTAATTTTCACTAAAACTGGGTGTAGTGTTACCTTTTTTATTCTTCTATGTTAGCTTACTGGAAGCTCAAACAGAAGGTAACAGAACTAAATTTGTGAATGAAGTAGATATTTTAGTTTATTTTGTGTTTAATGATTGGGAATATACAGTAATTGAAACAATGTATCAGACTGGTTTGTCCCAGGAACAGTTTCTTCCTCTGCGTTTCCTGTAGTTAGTCTCCAGAATCCAGAACAGGCCATACAACTCATCAATGTGAGGAGGAGTCACTCTAAAAAATTATATATTTTAATTATACAGGATTTTACTATTCAAGAATACATTCTGTAAAATTATGACTCTTTCTAACTTTTAGGTATAAATATTAATATATTTAGATATATATTATCTTTTTGATTATTTTTAGAGACAGAACGACAACTGTTGACCTTGGTGTTCGCTCAATAAAGGCAACAAGAGAAAAACAGAGACAGCAATTTACAGTTATAAAATCAATTACACATCAGAAATATAACACGAAGAAACATATTAATAATCTCCAGCTTCTACAGGTAAATATACCAAAACATGTTTTTCTGTGCTCAAGAAATACTGTAGCAGGCATTTAAAGTTATGTTCCAATTGAAATTGTATATTAAGCCGTGAGACAGGGACGGAAATACCGCCTGTGCGGCCGCACGGGGGCCTGAGACTGTGGGGGGGCCCAGTGAGATCAGGATTACGTTAAAACGTGTGACCATGTGACCAGTCACACATTCTAACGTAGTCACAAACTTTGATAGAACACCGCCATCAGGGGGGTACGGCCGGTACCCATGTGAGCGGTCTGGGCAGCTGGGCACCGTCTTAGGAGGGGGCCCAAGATAAAATCTTGCACCAGGGCCCTTTGGTTATTAGGTACGCCACTGCCGTGAGATGCATTCACCTACAGCCTCTCCTGTGCAAAATGGTACCTCCACATAGTGTCTGTAAGTGTCATTGAGGAATATGAAGTAACAATGTATTTTTACAGTGCATTTACTGTTTCATTCATACGCATATTAAAGGGATGACCTTTGGTCTACATGTGACATCAGCAAAAACTTAAACCTTGCAATATATAAATATATATATTAGGGATGCACCGATACCAATTGGTATCGGTATCGCTGCCGAAACCGAGTATTTGGGTAAGTACTCATACTTGCCCAAATGCTCCTGATGCCTTTCAGGAAGCCAGGTGACGAGTCATTACACACTGCCCGGCTCCATGCTCCCTCGTCACCAGGAAGCCGGGAGGTGGGTAATGAGCTAGTGACGAGGGAACATGGAAACGGCTTCCCGGTTAATCAGGAAGCCGGGCGGCGAGTCATTACACGACGCATGGCTTCCTTAATGGGACTTCCAGTATCTGTATTCAGTATTGGCGAGTACCGAGAAAAAAATATCAGTACTGTACTTGGTTAATATTAATTTAAATAACATATGCTCCTATTTAAAGGACAACTAACGTGAATAATAACTGCGGCTGTAAATACAACTATTGAGGCAGCACAAACACTTTTATTTCTGAAAGCATTCTTACTTTACAGCATTACAGCACACCTGCCTAAAACGTTTGCTCAGTACTGTATATATTTTGGGCTTGGGTTTAGAAACACTTTAAGCATACAAAGAAATTTACATCCCTTATTTCTACTGTAATTAACTTTTTATATCATCTTTAAGTTGTCAGGCACAGCAAATTTAACAAAAGATGTGAATGTCGTACGTTTTCCTGAGACATTTCCAGAAGTTAAACCTGGCAGCGTCTGTGGTATAGCTGGATGGGGGAAGACCAATAACAAAAATTCTTACAATTCAGACAAGCTAATGGAGGCAAGAGTGACGGTTATAGACAGGAAGAAATGTGTTAATCAGTGGAAGCCAACAGTTCAGATCACAAAGGACATGGTATGCACCAGCGGGAAAGAAGCATCAATGGGATTCTGTAATGTGAGTATAAAATGAATACAAAAAAATGTGCAAACAATGGATCGGGCAGCAATTGCACTTGTATTTGGGCACTCTTGCACTAGGTCACTATATACTGTAGAATGGTAATCTTCATATACTGTATGTATACAGGTTCAGAGCACACTACTGTAGTTAAAATAAAACTTTATTGACTTTGGAGAACTTTATTTATTTTAGGTTTATACATTTGATACTATTTTGTAACTTTTAACTTTTTATAAAAAATATATAATAAAGATCTAAATCTAAAGGAAGCCCATTGGCGGTAGGGAGTGAATAAGGAGGAGTTGCTGCTCTGATTTATTCACTTATGGCTCTAAAGTTCAGCAAGAACTATTTAAGTAGGTAAACAACAGCTTCTTTTAGGAAAGTTAATAATGTACAAAGCCTACCACCTGCTGGCTGGATATGAATGCAAACGATTTTCATATACAATATTTCATAAATGGTGAACCTGCAAAAAACACATGCCCTGTCCTTCCATTGCTACACACATTTTCATATGATATATGACATAGCCATGGTGAGATAGCCATGGTCGTCACCCACACTGAACTTTAAACATGTATGACTTTTTTCATCTCTATTACATGGAGGATTGTTGGGACTAATAGTTAACCCCTTCCCGACCTCTGACAGGATTATTCCATTACGGTCACTTCCTTGACGTCCGGTGACGGAATAATCCTGTCATGCAGTACAATGAGTGCTGGTCCAGCGCTCATTGAGTTAATGCTGTTGCTGGGTCTCTCGGTGTCCGAGACAGATCCTAAACAGCAATTTAGGTGGTCCCAGCAGAGAGGTAATCGCTATAATCACCGTGCTGTGACAGCCACTGAGCAGGCTTTCAACTCACTGTGTTGTGGAGCTGGAAGCTGGCTTAGTGTGCAAAGTATCTCTGAGCAGAATACAGTATCTCCTCAGAATACTTAGTATCAAAAGCCCCTGTAAATAAAAAAATAAACGTTTAGTGCCCCCAGTTTTAAAAAATTTAAACCTTTTTTAAAGTTTTTAAAATGTAAAAAAAGAAAAAGTTTAAAAAGTAAAAAAAAAAAAATTTAATACAAAAAATGAGAAAATATAGTGCCGAGGAGGCTATTAAAGTTAGGAGACAAACAAACCACATTCTAAAATTGTTCCACATTCTGATAGTATTTCACTCCTTGTACTTTGTGACCTATAACTCTCAAAATAAACTGAAATCCCAGACATGTGATATACCCTATAAATCAGGACAAATAAAATAGCAATTGCAATAGCCAATAGCAGGCTGGTTATTGAAACCTCGCCCACTGAGCGGAGGAGCGGACCTGAGAGAGAAAATTCTCTCTCAGGTCCGTTCCTCTGCTGAGTGGGATGGTGCAATAGCCAGCCTGCTATTGGCTATTGCAATTTGCCAGTTGCTTTAGAGTGCTTATTGCTTGAATGCTGGTTAATGGGGAGTTTATTGTACTCACCTGAACCGCTGAGCTGGCTGCTTGCTCCTCCGGTCTCTGAAGGCTCTCTCCTCCTACGCTGCAGCATTGTAATGTTCCTCGGCATCCTCACGTCTATACACAGTGCATAGAATGTGATGATTTACGGGACTTTGGACTGCTGTAGCAGAGGGGGGAGAGGCTGGATGGATCGGTCTAAGAGCAAGCCAGCTCCTTGGATCGTATGAAGATAACTTTTTTCTTTTAAGCACCTAGAGAAAAACGAGCAGTTAACCCTTGCAGTGCGGGGGTAGCCCCACTGCAAGGGTTAATAAAAGTTTTGCCTGAAGTTCTTCTTCAACACGATGGAGATAAGGATGTTTGTGTTTTCTTCATAGCTCACATGAAGTAATAAGGACACTGCACTTCTGATAAGATCAACATTTATTTTTTGTACTTGCTGAAAATGTTTTAGCCTGAAAAAAGAAAACGAACGCAACCGCTACATCTAAAGAGTGGTGGGCTGCAATATGTTACATTTTGTTTTCGGATTTAGTTTGGCATTCAGAAAATATATAATGTTGGGGGGTTTTACGTCATTTTCAGGCCTAAAATGTGGAATATAACATGGGTGCAAAAATTGAAAAAAGGGCCTCAGTCATGAAGGGGGTTAATAAATTGCTTTAATAAATTGCTCAGGTAATCCTACTGCAAATAAAAAAGTGTCACCTCCTGTGTGATTCCTTAAACTATTATTGTTCTTAAAATGGCTGTGTTTTCATTTCAGGGTGATGGCGGAGGTCCATTATTGTGTGGAGGCTTCCTAAAGGGTATTATGTCTTTCGGGTCTCTGCTGTGTGGAATTCCAAATGGGGCTGATGTCTCCACTCGGCTGACTAAAGACTACATGAAGTGGATCAACAAGGAAACCAAGAAAAGACCATAGATCCTTCCTTTTACCTTTTCTTTCATATGCATTACTGAATGCAATTTTTTCAAAGGGTCAGCCAACCCAATATTTTAGTTATATGCAGTTTCAGCCACTTTGCATGTCTCTTGTGAACTCCAGAATATCCCCATCATAGTTGTTAGCTTTGTTCCCATACAGCCTGGAGTATACCTCTTCCTGCTTATGTGTGGTGCTGCTCATCCTGTTGCTTTCCATAAAATAAAACAAATATAGCAAAATGATTAAATGGTCTATAAGTTTCCTTTTTCATTGTGAAATAGACATCCAGTAACCATCAAACCCAATAATGCAAAAAAAAAAAAAATGCAATAATGCAAACTTGAGGTTTTACCTCTTCTAGATAATGTGGAGCTGTAATCTGAAAAAATCTCACAATCCTGAAAACCTCCACTTAAAGTGTATCCAAACCCAAAAATAAAAAAAATTAACATATTTAAATTTACCAATCCTTACATGGTGGCTGCCTTTGATTTCTTTTATCAAGATTTCTTTCTTTACTTTCAACCAGTGATTTTCCCAGTAATGCACTTCCAGTCCTAGGAGGACAATGATCACTCACCCTACTGTATCAGGACAGGAGAAACAGGATATAACTACAGGATATAATTACATAGTTAGTCAGGTTGAAAAAAGACAAATGTCAATCGAGTTCAACCTATAGAGATATGAAAAACAAATATTCAACCTATAGAGATATGAAAAAAAAAGCTTAAACTGAACGTTATGCCCACAATTACCCACTGTTGCTCCAGAAGAAGGCAAAAAACCCTATAAAGCATGGTTTAATTTGCTCCAACAGGGGGGAAATTCCTTCCTGATCCCATAAGGCAATTGGATATTCCCTGGATCAACAATCTCTGATGCTTAATCTACCTATAAGAACTCAATATCCAGTAACTCCTCTGCTATTGTCCTTAACATAGAAGGATGTGGTCTTCTAGTCCTCAAAGATAGCTGGGAACCATGTAGCTATTAAGGGTCAATGCAGGCAAAGAGCACAGGAAGTTATCAGCTCACAAGATTTCTGGCAGAGTCAACAGGTATTTTTTGCACTTATTACAAATAAGATAGAAATATGATTTTAACAGATATGAAAAAAGAGACATTTAAGGGAATATTTAACAGACTAAAATGGACCAAATAAGAGAAGTTCATTGTTATGATTTACATACCCTTTTGAACATCTTGTCTGTAAAAGCACATGTACACCAGCATCTTTATGGAAAACATTTAGTGGCCTTTCTCCTTCAGTCTACTCTTCTCACTGTTTTTACATGAATGTGACAGCAATTCTTACAGTGAGAACATCAGTTGTAGCTAGCCAAGCCGATGTTCTCATGAAGTTGACATTATTAACTCTATAGCAGTCAGCCAACATGGCTAATGATGAAAAGTTACTCCACGAAATTATAATATTGTACACCCAAAACTCCTTCTATTAGTAAAACTATGCCCTGTGCATTGGCAAATCTGCATTAAAGACTTTGCCATTAAAGTCCTTGTCACACTCATTCAGGGCAGAGTGACAGACAACCCCTCCAGCAAAGATATACTTACCCAACCACGCTCCCTCACTGCTTCTCTAGGTGTATGGTGTCCTGCCCCCAAATGTGACAATGTTGGGGTCTGGTGACTGGCACATGGGAAAATCATGTGCTCCCCCATACTATTGCTCTGTTGAGTGCAATAGAGAGAAATCTAAAAGGAGGAAAGGGAGCGTAGATGGGTGAGTTTACCTTGCTGGAGAAGTGGACTGTTTGGAGGCTGGCTAGCAGGGCCATCATATTTACCTTTGATGATGGAGGCCTCTGGGTCCCTGAAACATCAGTCTTTTATATTTATATACATATTTGAAAGAAATTTATTTTTAAGCGTCTTTTGGACTGTTGGCTCATCGTTTCCTTGCACCAAATAAAGGCACCTGACCCACAGGCTCTGCATGTAGTAAAACAACAATTACAGCTGCATTGTGAAAAAAAAAAGTGAAAAAAACAGTCAGAATAGTTTTTTCAATGAAAATGAGTGGGCCCATGAAGCTCACTGGTGTCCGAAAAGCATACATGAAGTTTGAATTGCCCCTTAGCATTCGGATACATTTTATAATGTAATGGTAACTTCGGTGTTATAATTGGCATTTTGTATAACCACAGTATGTTGGCACAGAGCAGAAATTAGAGTTTTTGACCTAATGCATCTAACTATAGCTTTGACCTAATGTTACAGTAGCTTCCTCCTATTTACATGCTTAATGTTTGTCTAGTTATATAGTATATATTAGTTATATAGATCTTAACATGCGATCCAGTATTAGACCTCTTTACACATTTTAACTTTGTGTGTCTTTCCTAAAACCACACTTTGAAGGCTGCAACTGAATAAGACCACCATTGTGTTTTCTGATTTAGATAAGGTGTTAATTAGGTTAGAAAAATATGGCTGATAGTAAGCTGAAGTTAATATCTTCATAGTATTCTGGGCACCCACACTTCATGCTGAGATGTTAAGGGCATACCAAATCTAAGCCTGGTGTACAAACGCTCAGTTCATACACAGGATTCCGGAGGAGGACTGGAGATGTTTTCCTTGCCAGAGCTAGGCTTTTAATGCACAGCAATGTCATTTAGTAAAACAGTGTTGTAAGGAAGGAGGAGAAATAATCAGTTCAGTATTTTCAGCAATTTTTATCAAAGGTGGGTCTACCTGCAACCAAATAACGCTGTTTTCCATAGTGTTCACAGTATATAATTACATTCATAGACTTTCAGGTCTTTGGGAGTTTCCATGTCAGTAATGGAACATTTATATGTGTGTGGGGACTGAAGGTTGCTTATTTTGGGTGCTGTGCATTACTTTTTGTATTTTGTTTTAACAAAAGTATGATTTTTGGGCAATAGATCCCTAATGTCACCTTAAAGAGAGCCTGTCACCTCCAATGCGCTATCACAAAGGGGGCTTGTGAGCTTATGTGACAGCAATGGAGTTGGGAAAAAAAGTTTTATATAAAATATTTTAAAAATGTAAAAATACCCCCCAAATTTTAAAAAGTCCCACATCCCACGAACACGTGCATACTAATGCATGCAAGCGTCGGATACAACTACGTACGATCGCAACAATTGTGCCTCACATGTTAGTTATTGTCACATGCACCAGAGTGAGAGCAAGAATTATAGGGCCAATATTCATGGTCATCTCCAAACTGATGACCTGTACAGGCTTTTAAAGCGTCATCTATGGACAATTTGGGGTACTATATTTTTTTGACGTTTCACGGGCTCACGCAATTTTTAAGCTTGGCATTTGTGCACAAATACTAACTTGATTTACTTTATTTTAATTTGAACTACGGGATTGATAAAGAGCTGCGCTAATATTATGGGACATAAACATTTGCAACTGGCACTATTTTATTCATTATATGTGGATTATAACGTGTAGAAAACACTAAAAATGGCTCTGGCCGGAGAAAGGGTTAAACTGAACCTCACTGAAGTCTATGGGGGTGACTCCTGCAAATCCATTTTGGTCATTTTCAAGGCTAATATGCACAAGGTTGTCAAACAAAGGAACTGGGCACTGCCATGGGGAACACATACAAATGCAAACATTTTTTACAAAATTACTGTTCAGCAAGCAAGTCATGGCAAAACCACAAATTCTTCAAATTACATGCTTTGGAGATGCCATTAAGCTATATGTAGTACTACAAAACAGAACACGATTCTGGCATCACATAAATTGCAGTGTAATCATTTTATTTACTTTTACATTGTTCCTTGGCTTACATACAGCAGCACAAACAGGACTTGACTGATCTCAACTCAAAAGTCTTAATTAGGTAGTTTGTCCACAGACACCAGATTTTTTTAATGTAGCAGTAACAACCCAGAAATAGCAGACACAACAGATCTACAAACTATCAGAAGGTATATACTATAAAAAAAGCTAAATTCATCAACTTTGTACAAATTGCCAAACAGTAGCAAAACATGTTTCATTGCATAGCTTGTGATATTCTTTTCAGTACTACACGGTCTTGTTTACAAAGTTTAATACAATTTCAACACACTTCTAAACCACAACTCCACAATCCAGAGATGAGACAGTTGTTAGGCTAAAATAAAATATACAGTGCCATATATCAGAGAAAATAGCTAAACATATAGCACAGTGGCTGGAAAGTATGTAAGCAGCTTGATTGGGTAGCAAGGTAGCAACAATTGTTATTTTAAAGACAGCAGCCAAAAATATTGTACAGAATTTCTGCACCTTATTTAAGCAGTTTTATTTAGTTGTTATGTTAAAGGGAGAGATGAGGCAATTTTTACAGTGGAAAGAAATTACAGTTTATTATGTTAAAGTCAAGAACCAGAAACATTACACTGACATTGTCACATACCTTGGTGTGAGTAGGGGGCGTATCTGCTGCGAGGCAAACAAGGTGTTTGCCTCGGGCGGCACTGCTTGAGACCCTGCAGAGCCCACCAGAGATCCTTCACAGCCCACCTGAGACCCCGTAGAGCCCACCACAGACCCTGCAGAGCCCACCTGAGACCATAGCTTTCCTGCTACGCAAATAGCGGAAGATATCAAAAGCTGGATACAGCGTGTGCACTGTATCCAGCGACTGACAGGTTATGCAAAAAGTATTAAACAGGAAGGGGTGGGGTAAATTTAGTGGGTTGGGGGGGCGTCTAAGTTTTGTCTTGCCTAGGGCAGCGCCAAACCAGAATACACCACTGGGTGTGAACCTGAAGTGATGAGGAAGGCCTTCTGTTGCAGCTTTCGCCTGAGCCCCACTAGAGGTGAAACAGTAGTTGTAGTTGTAGAGGGTGGATGTGGCAGGGGGAGCTGGGGGTTTTTTTTTGTTTTTTT